GTTTCAATAAACGATATTAATACATTTATAAGCTGGGCTGTTTGTGATCTGCTGTTCTGAAACGTCATGAAAGGTGAAAGTTAATTTCGTAGAAGTGGATAATTTATATATTTTTATTATGAAGACCAATGAACCGCACCAGGCAACAATTCTCCTAGTTACTATAGGATTCTGACGATGGTGTATAACACACAGAGATACTGGGTTTTCGGACTTTATCCATAGTCCTGGTTTTTAAGATAACTAAGAAAAACACGACGTTTCGGAAACTGGATCTGTTTCCGTCCTCAGATGAGGGAAAACACCTATTCTGTTGGGTCCTTTACTCTATGTGAGTAATTCTCCTACTATCTACAGTCGTATTGGAAAATAAACAGATGTTTTTCGTTTAATCTCGTACATTTTGTTCATATTAGGAAGTATGATAAATGCATACAAAATTTTAGTCAGAGAATATTATTAAAATGAATCTTAGATGAATGTAGTGTAAAGATTTAGAATGGACAATCTTCCTCGTAATAGAGACTAGTGACTAGTTTTTGTATCCTCCGGTTCACGTAAGAACAGAAGGTCTTGATAACCTGAGTGACTACCAGATATTAGAAGCAGGGTGCTCATTTAAGGAGTCAGCTACTTGCGTGTCTCAAATTCTCTGTTTGGCTAGATAATGACGCTCTCTGTAATGAGACTATATAGGACTTGCCATAATTCAGGCACTTGTTCACCGGTTTCGATCCCAGCTCTTGTCATATGGGATTTGTAGTAAACGAAGTGGCACTGAGGCAGGTTTTCTCCGACTACTTCGATCTTCCTTGCCAATTCTCACTCCATCAACTTCTCCACATTCATTAATCAACCTCTCATCGACGCTATGCATTCTCGATACTGTCACTGTTGTTAAATAAATTAAAATAAAAGAAAGAGATACGTTATAGCGTGGGGTGACAGAATGACTGATGAACTGGAAAGAATATCGCAGTAAGACGTGCCTAAACCAGAAACCGTCCTGGAATTTTCCTGGTGAGACTGAAGAAAATCGCTACAGTCCTCAGTCACGGCAGCCGAGATTCGAACCGTCTACGTCTTGGGTTCAACTCAAGACCAAACAGTTCAATTATATTCTTACTTAAGTAATTTAAGAACGACTGAGTTATTGAATTGGTATTTAGCGTAATTTGTGACGTACTGACAACTGGGTTTAGGCGCAGTAAGCAAGCCGTCGCTTAGCTGTGGCCACACCCTCACCCCCTCACTCACCGGTGGGCACTCGAGCAGAATGCAAGACGTGGGAACTGCGAAGATGTCACCGTAATCAGAAGTGGTCTCACAGCGAGCATTGACCCTCATCTCGTCTTTACCAGGCTCACGCAGGCCTATCCATTGAATACTAAACCTTCTTTACATAAACGTAATTGAAATTTCAGTTCAATTGTATTATATCCCTACGTTTTTACGAACTCATCTTGTTTCCTTACGTAATTATAATTTTCGTAATTCATTTTTGTCCATCTGTTCCCAAGTTACCTAAATCAGAATGAAAATATTTTCTATTGCCCTATAAAGAATTCTTGCATAGCTACTTCACGTCATTATGCTCGCCCGAATCTGATGATACGGTGATGAATCTGCTCCTAGAACATCAACACACGTTACAATCGACAG